AAGAGAGAGAATTCTCTGGTCAGGTACACGGTGTGTGTATCTGGGTCTAGACGGGGGCCGTCTACGAACCCGGTATGGGGTCTGTCGAGAGATCTCCTCCGCACCATTGTCGTAATGATGTGTGATACTCCCCTCCGCGGTGCGCTCCATCAGGAGCTTAAACGGTGTATTCGGGTCGGGTCGGGTTTTCAATTTGTACCAAACCCTCGGGTTGCGGGTTTGTCGAGCGACCAAACCCGTCTTCTCGGGTCGGGTTCGGGTTCGGGCCACGGCCAGACCCGCGGGTCGCGGGTTTGCCGGTCGACGCACGCAAAAGTTTGGTCGGGCCGGGTTCGGGTTCGGGTTTGGGTCGAACCCGTTCTTTAAGGGTCTTACTTTAAAATCCTTTCCGGAGAGCCACCGTACCCGCGGCGTCGACGCCGCTCGCGACCGCGCGGCCCGAGTTCCAATATTTGATACACATGACAATTGCACACGAATAGACAAAACCCGAGCGGAGAAAACCCGGTGCGATCCCGGATGTTTCGGTCTTCCAGGGTGCGGAGCCGGCGTCTGCCAGAACCCGCGGGTTCGGCGGGTACCCACGGGCTTGCCACCCGGCGCGCCCGCGTGGGTTCGGGTTCGTGCCAAGACTAGACCCGCGGGTCGGCGGGTTGGCCAAAACGCGCAAACCCGGCAAACCCGACCCGCGGGTTTCAGGTTAACCCGGACCCGCTTAGGCTCCTATTCCGTTCCAGCCGGCGAGCCTGCATCGCGCCTCGACTTAGCGTCTCGGCGCAGTGTCGTCTCAGCCAGTGTACCTGTAGAGCGCCTGGCCCAGCTTCCCAGCGCCGAGCCGTCCCAGCTGGCATGCCTGCAGTGCGCGCGTATTGGCGTCCGCGTAATGGCCCGCTGGGGGCAAAAGGGGATTCACCGGATCATTATCCTTAGAGGTGATTGTGGGGCCCGGTATATATACCGCAACGGTCCGTCTCGGTGTCCCAGCGCCGCGCCGTCTCTGCCGGCGTGCCTGCAGCGCGCCTGGCTCAGCTTCTCAAGCCGTTCCGTTAAGAAGCTGCAACAGCAGTTCTCGTTTAGCCCCCGCCCCCACAACATCGAAGTCACCCGGCTCCTGGCCGTCGAGCACCATTCGGAGCAAATGGGAAAACCCCACAGAGCCTAAACACGCAACGGTCCGATATTCAGTTCGAAAAGGGCTTGAACCTGGCGGACAAGGCGCCGCAGCAAGCCCCTAGCAGCCACCTGGCCGAATCCGTTGCCATGGTACGATATGAGGCGATTTATAAGCTTGGATCTGGCGGACAAGGCGCCAAAGCAGGCGCCACAGCAAGGCCCTACGAGCCACGTGCCAAGACTGGACGCCACAAGACGCCCCGGGGTATTGACGAGCATCACCGCGCGCAAATGGGAAACCCCGATGTGCCAACACACGCTCCGACATGACATTCAACGCCGTATATGTTACAGTCTGGTGGACAACGCGCCACAACAAGCCCGTGCGAGTCACCAGGCAAGACCGGATGCCACAAGATGCCACAAGGCACCGTCGAGCGCCACTAGGCGCCTGTGGGGAAACCCGTCGCATCTCGCCACGCTACGTTCCGATACTTGCAATCTGGCGGGAAAGGTGCCACAGCAAGCTCTTTTGAGTCATCCAGCAAGACCAGGCGCCACAAGACGCTACAAGGCATCGTCGCACCACTCGGCGCAAGTGGGAAACCCGATGGACCACGCCCTACGGTCCAAATTCGGCGCGATAGAGGCCGGATGGTGACCAAGGCGCGACAGCAAGGCCCTACGAGCTTAACGGCAAAACAGGGCGCCACAAGATGCATCAAGGCACCGTCGACCAGCACCGGCCGCAAATGAAAAACAACGTTGCGCCTGAACACGCGACGGTCCAGCAATCGGCGATATATAAGCTTGCAGTCAGGCGGACAAGGCGCCATCGCAAGCACCTAGGAACCCCATGGTAAGACTTGGCACCCCAAGACGCCCCCAAGGCACCGTCGAGCACCACCGGTCGCAAATGGGAAACCCGATTTGCAAAATCACACTACGGCCAGACATTAAGAGCCCCAGAGATCGGAGCCTGGCGAAGAAGGCGCCACTCCAAGCCCTATGAGCCACCTGGCGAAATCGGGCGCCACATGACGCCCCAAGGCTCCGCCGAGCGCCACGCGTCTCAAATCCATTTTATTTAGCACCCGAAGCTTAACGGATTCCCTAAAGCTTTTAACTTCCGCCCAGTGCTTTTCTCGAACTTTGGCAGCCTGTAGCCAAGCTTATCGGGCAGCTCAATAGTCACAAGCTGGTGCGTTCGAAAGAGAAGGCTAAGGACCATACAAGCCCGTCGGCCGTGACCATATTGGCGATAAGGCCGGTCTCAAGTGGCGTGAAGTTTGGCTATCATGGGCTATGTACAATGGGGGCGTGGTCGCTATGCCCCCCTTCTGCCCCTCGGAGTGTCCGTGAATGACCAGCCTCGAGGAGGGTGCCATGCAGGGGCGTGAACAAGCGCCCCCCTCAATAGCATGAACTTTATAAAAACTTTGAGTGCCTTCTTAATAGACCCTTTTCAAGCACAGCGAGCCGAAATCGCTTAAATGACAAAACGCCGCTTGTGTCATTACCATGGCGCACCGGAGGTACTGCAGACCCCCGGAGGGCGCCTTTGGTACATGCCCCTGTAACTTTTCGCAGCGGGTCTGGCGGACTTGAATTCAACCTTTATTCGAGTTAGAAACAAAACAAAAAAGTGCTCTGGGCCGTCAAGGATGCTATGGGTGGGTTATGAGGCGCCGGGTCGGTCCATGGGTTGTGGCGGGTGCCTTGGACCGGCCTCCATGCGCAGTGTGCGTCACGTGGCCATCTCGCTTTCCAAATGTTTCGCCCTTTGACCTGAACACACATGCGGGCGATGGGCACTCTAGCAGGGCTGGAGGACGCCGCAGATATGGTCCGGCTAGGATCGACTTGCGGGTAACCACATGAAATGGGCGCACCAAGCCAAACGCAAACCTCGATCCTAGCCAGCGCCACCGCAACCGCGCGCCCTGGGCTGGTGCCAATTAAGCACCGCGAGTTCGCAGGCCAAGTCCGCTGGGACCGTTCTTTAAGTCCACAGGGTGGTGCAGTCGTTTAGAGGACACTTTGTAACGCGAGTAAGCTGGCTTAAGTTAAGTCCCATTTCGATGGCGGTGGCACATCGGCGAAAGAAGGACCGGCACACCCGGCCCGAGTCCCGCGCCACCCTCGTAAGCGCGCACAGCAGCGTGCTGCATAGGCGCGCGTCTTATTTTTGTTTCGCGACCAAGGGTTCCGCATGGATTAACCTCTGGAATAGACAGACGGACCAATAATATTGCGCATGGGTGATCTTCAATAACGGCCCCCGGAAAAGGGGCCTAGATTTTATCAAATCCGAAGACCCCCTCCGGGAGTCTGAAAAAAAAAAAACGAAAAATGGTCGGCTTTCAACGGAATGGTCGGCTTTCTCTCTCAAACTTCGAACTGGGAGGCACCGCCCCGCCACGCACCGACGTTCCCTTGGGTCAGGAGTGTCGCGCCGGACGCGCCACGGCGTCTATACCCCGGGATCGCGAGCCTCCTTTCCCCTGGTGGCGCACGGGCTGTTTTCGGTGTGTCCGAAAATGGTGTCGCTCGAAGCGCTCCAACTTCCCAATGCGGTCGAAGTGCCCCCATATGAAGCCGGGCCCATACTCGACAGGTACCATGCGTGCGCGCGCAGCCGCCAGACCTCGCCTGGCGGCTTGGGGAAGACCATCGGGCCTAGGCTGGGCAACCCCACTTTTGCGCGTTCGTTTGGGCGAAAATTGGCTCGCTGCGCTCGATATCGCGCCTCGGAGGGAGTTTTTTTTTATTATCAAATCTTAAGTACTGCACGCAAGCCCCAATGTCAAATTTGCCAAGAATTTAATTTCAAAACGAGATTCCGTTGAACTTGGGGCACGAGTATTTCAGCGCGGGCCCCGTCCGCTGAGCTAAAGTTAACGGATCTTGAAAGCTTACATCGAGGCGCGTCGACTCCATCAAACAGTTTGCCGCAATTCAAGAATCGTGATTTTGAGAAGCGTGTCTATGATTCTAAACTAAGTTCTGATGTTGATGTTGATTTTGCCTTCTTATCGTGATATTTTACGACCATGTGCCAACTGCAGGATTGGAAGCACGGAAATTTTGCTTTGTGTGATAGGGTGGGTCTATACGTACTCGCGTGGCATAGGCCGGTGCCGTACGAGCGCCGCGAGTGGCTCTTCAGACGAACCAAAACTGTCGTTCGGGTTTTTAGTTTGAGAGTTTTAATTAAATAGAAGATTTTTGTGATACAGGGCATTTCGGGACTCAGGGCGACGATCTCTGTTACCCCTAACAGGAGCATAACGCTTATCGGTGGGTCCCGCACGCTGGGCGGAGACCAAGCGACCAGGCGCTTCAGCGTCGCCACCCCCCAAACCCCAAAGCACCCGCGGGATTGGCGCCCAGCCACCCAGGCGCCGGCGGCAGGCTAGGAGGTCGCGGTCGGCGGTCCATAGTCGACATGCCCTCGAGCGCGGCGCTGGAAGCGGCCTTTGAGGCGCTTCTAGAAGAAGGCGCGTTGCTGGCAGTGGCAACTTGCTGCCACTTCAACTTTCGCCGGCGGTGGCGGCTCTGCAGTGTGCAATCTCGATGGGTATGCTGCGCGAGGCCACGTCGCGTTGCAGGGCGTGTGCCGGCTGTGCCTGCAGCTGCTCAAGGTAAGAGGATCCGATTCGCCGGAAAACATCGACGTCCTCACCAAAGCCAATCCTCAAGTTTTTGTCATCATACGATAGGAGGGACCTCGGCTCGTCGCGCTTCCGCCAAAGCTCCTCATAGGGGCGTCTTGTTTCCGACCCGACAGGCGCCTCGCCGGCTTCGGCGCTCGGCGTGGGGGCAACGCGGAGACGGCACAAAAGGTTCGGCCTGAAGCTCGCGCCGCCAACTGGCCCTCAGGCAAATGTAGTGGGCCGGCCAACTCGAACCCGGAATCTCATGATTCGCAGTCAAGCTCCTTGTCCATTCGGCCACGCTCGCTTGTGAGCTGCTTGGACAGCGCGGGGCTTTCTCCAAAGGCAATTGGGGAATGGGAAGTTCGGAGGCGGATGCGATGGTGCCAGAGGTATTATGGGTATTGATTACCCGGTAATTGAGGACCCGAAGGGTCCTTGTCGTTTATTCAACGTCAGTTTACGGCAA